GAGAAATGGGAGTGAGTCTGGCGGAAAGGCTGTGTCGGGGTCTGAGGTCTCTAATCTTTGAGGCTTAGAGATTGTTATTAGAAATGAGGGTGATAATCTAAACATTGAAATGGCCAGGAAGTCAAGAATCCTCCGATTGTGCTGCTCTTCACCCCTCCCTTCCCCTTAGACTTCCCAGCAAGGGGACAGGGAGGGCTCCGGCCATTGAGGCATGTTCTCAGGTGGCACCAGAAGCTTCCCTCACCCTTGACCCAGGGAGATTGCATTGTGGTGTCTGCCATGGCCCAGGGCACCTCTTCCTCGCTGCCTGGGCGTTGCATCCTGAAGCTGACAGCTGGGCGTCATTGATTGGTGGTCCTGGCAAATCCGAGTGGCGAGCCTCATGCATGTCAGCCCTGGAGCACCGTCTCTGAACACGACCCCCCTGCCAGGCTTCTGAGTTCCTGTGGTTCGTCTTAGCTGCTGGTCTATGCCCTCCTGCTTTACGGCTGGGCCATTTCCCAGCAAAATGAGAAACTAAGAGCACAAGCTCAAGATGACAGGTTTAGCCTAAGAATGGACGGTTATGTATCAAAATCAGATGCTGTGCCCTGCACTATGCCTGGAACTGAGAGGGACACAGAAATATGAGACATGGTCTCTGTCCTGAGAGCTCTCATGGGAGAGTTAGGAAGGCAGCATTTAATCTTGTCTTTTGTAGGGGCATCAGTGAAGAAAAACGTAATGACATGATCAACATATGTCAATATCAATAGGTAATATTAGGTGTGTACTGTATGTGTGTTAGGCACTGTGCTAACACATTGAATACTTCTTCCTTATAATAATTCTACAAAGTAGGTAGGCACTCTCAGCCTCAACTTTCTCATCTGTGTAATGGGATGACAATAGCACTACCCTCAAAGGACTGTTCAGATTCATTGAAATAATGTACACAAAGTGCTAGAACAGTGCCTGATGCGCTGGTGACCTCTGCCAGCGTCAGATGCTGGGCCCCCTCTGGGGGTGCAGCCCCCGCTTCTTCCCTTCCATGGTTTGGGTACGTGAAGGCTCATTTCTCTGCCATTTTGATGTCTCTGGGCCCTCTCTTCTCTACCATTTCTCATGCTGGTCCTTATTTTACCCTCCCTGTGAGGCTCTTCTGCAAAGGCTTCTCTTTCTCTCCTACTTTCTCTCTCTCTCATGTTCTGTTCTGTCTATCCCTCTCTCAGGGCCTCTGTCCCTCTCGGATGCCCAGTTCCGCTGGAGCAGGAACAGGCATCCTCTGGACCCGGTGGTTCCTTTCTTGTTCATGGGGGATTTCCCAGTCTAAGCTGTGTGAGGCACCAGCCTTCGGTGGTTAGAACAGACCAGTGGGGCCAGTTTGTAGCACTTACGCTCCCCCTGCCCCCTCTCCCCCAAGAAAGCTGAGAATACGGCCCACATCCCTGCTTCAAGTCTGTGGGTTGATATAGGTATGGGATGGGAACAACAAATTGTCCAGATGTTCGGCTTCTGGGTCAGCACAAATGCCAAAAGTTGTTCTCAGTGAAGGCTGGATTCTGCAACCCAACAAAGCAGCCTTTCTATGCTGTGTTGGATTCAGGACCAACTTCTAGCATCTGGATATCAAAAGAAGGAGAGAAACACAATCTGAACCGTCTCTCCAGGCACCATGTGCTTATAATGATATCGTGTGATAGAAATACAGAGGCAAGGCGGTAGAAGTGATGCAGTAGTCACTTGATATGCACCACAAGCCCCCTAATTTTGCATTAGCTGCTTCCTGAAAATTAAAACGTCACTTTCCCAGATGCATTGATGTGCATTACTCTACCGGGAACAGGCTTGCTTGGTGCGGGGGTGTGGCTGATGGGAGAAAGATGAAGGTTCTTAGGAAAGATGGCCTTTGGCAGATGGGATGGCTGGGCCCCTTGAGCGAGGAGCTGGTCCCTGATCTCAGCACAGATGCGTGGACTAGAGGGAGGGCACACTGCCTCCCTCTGTGGCGGTGAGTGGTTGCAGTACCAGCGTACAGTCTGTAATTTTGTGTGAATGTGCAGTTTGGGAGACAAATTATTGCATTTGCTTCCTAGAAGTAAGGAGTCATCTGGGATTGAAATAAACATAGCCTATGTCTACATTTGGCAAAAGGGGCTTTCAGGGCTGCAGGAGAGGCAGATGAACACTCCTGAGGGCTGAAGTGACTTCTCAGCCCCCAGGCCTGGAGCCTGGTCCCAGCGCAGGAGGCAGCACTGGGTCTGGGTAATTGACACTGGTCATGCTTTATCATGATCTCATTAATCCTCAGGGATGTGCAGTGCTTAGCCCAGGACACGCTCAAAGCCCAGTGCAAGCAGGTATCCTGCCACGTTCCTGTGCTCAGTCTACCAGGAAAGTCCTACTAACCCCCAGGTCCTCGGCTCTCTCCAGATCCTTGGAGACCTTCCCAGCACATCTTCTGGAGCAGAGAAGCATGAACCTCTCCCTGCCCTGCTCCCAAGGCCACTTCATTCTGGAATCTGCAAGGATTCCAGGTCAAATGAGAGGCTTAGCTATCAGCCCACTTGGGCTCTGGTCAGATTCCACAGTTAAACTGAGTAAACCGTCAGTAGAGGACTTACCCTCTCTGAGCCTGAACCCCTCCCCTTTGCAAGAGGGGTGAAAATAGTCCTCACATCATGGGCCTGTGGTTGAGAGTTAAGATCAGGCAGGTAAATGCTTAGCACTGGGACTGGCTCAGTAAATGTCTGTGAATTACACCGTTTCACCTGAAGTCACAGCTAGCTGGGGGATGATTCCTCCAAAGACGGAGTAGTTCAAAGACAGACTTGGGTGAAAATCCACCTCCGCCTTCGCTGCACAGGCCTCCGTGCACACCATTCTCTGGAAGCTTTAGGAACCACAGAGCTTCTGAGTGATGGGAATTAGACTGAGCAGAGAGGAGGGAGGAATGGGACCCTCAGTCCTTGGAGCCAAGAGAACCATGAGAAAGTCAAGCCCTTGACTGTAGCCCTCATAGGCTCCAGAGAGAGAAACTAAGGTGCTAATGACACCAGCAAAGGTGACATTAGCGAGGGCCCCTGCCCCAGCCCCCGTTGGCAGCCTGTGATGAATAAAACAGGGGCTGTGGGTCGCCAGGTGGGGGTTCAAGTTCCCCTCTCTCTTATGTGTGGCTGGGTTTCTCCTGCAGTGTCCTCCCCTCAAGGCTCCTCCCATCAGTGATGGTGCAGTCAGGAAAACTGAAATAGAAACTAGACCAACATTTGTCTTTTTCTTTCTTTGCTGAGGATACAGAATTTACCTTAATCATACTATTTGCTTTAACATCTTTTGTCCGATATTAGTATTGTCACACCGGCTTTCTTTATTGCTTCCCCAGTAAATCTCTTTCCATCCCTTTTTATGTGACATATATTTAAATGTATCTCTTGAAAGCAGCATATAGTTAGGTGGGTATAAGACTTTCTCATTCTCCATATTTTTGAAACTACACTAATTTTTTAAATTCTTTTTTTTATTGAAGTACAGTCGATTATAATGTGTCGATTTCTGGTGTACAGCACAGTGTCCCAGTCATGCATATACATACATATATTCAAAACTACACTAATTTTTAAAGAGGGGATTTAAATCAGAAGGTTGATGTTGGAAGGCTGAAAAGAGCAAAAAGGAAATGTTGAGGATGCCCAGAGATTAATAACTGCAAGAAGCACCTCCCTCTCCCAGGGATGGGGGCAGAAAAAAGTGGCATTATCAAATCCCAGGAGGTCAGAGGAGGGGCCCCAGCTTCTGGAAGGGGTGCTGCTAGTGTTCAGACCTCCCCAAGGAAGGGTGCTGACGTCTGAGAAGGAGACACCCCGGGCTTGTCCCCAGCGCTTTGGGGGTAGAGCTTGACTTGGGGGTGTTCAGTGGGTGAGGAGTCAGGGAGCTGGACTCTGACTGCAGTGTGCACAGCTGGGCTGCTGCGAGGCCTCAGAGGGAGCGCACCAACGCTAGAGAGGACGCGGCTAGAGAGCAGGGCTGGAGCTGGCCACTGCCACTGCAGCCATACGTATAGGAGCTGAAAACAAGGAGGAAGCCTCTTCTCTCCTCCTCCTGCCTTTCCCTCCTGCCAGGGCCTGCCACTGGCAGCACCTAACCGGAAACCAGCCGGCCCCGGAGTCTGGGAAACACGGTTAGCCGGCTCTGAAGGCCAGCATCCCCAAGCAGAGTATGGAGGGTGGATTTGGTGCTGATGGGGCAGTAAGTAAATAAGTGATACACACACACTGGGGCGCACTGTCTCATTTCATCCTCCTGGTGTTAGCACAGAGATCATAGTAAAGAGTTATTCCCAAGTTATAAAGACAAATCTGAAGACCAGAGTTGTTCAGTAATTTGCCCAAGTCAGTTACCAGGTAGTCATTGAATGCCTACTGTGTGCCAGGCATTGTTCTAGCCTTGGAGCCGCAACAGTGAACAAAACAGTTTGTCCCGGCAAGAGTGCTTGTACTATAACTGGGGGAGTGGCGACAATGGGATGAGGACATAATCAAAGCACACATACAGACAGGTAAATGCACTGATCATCTCGGGTACAGAAGGCAAGTGCTGAACACAATGGAAACGTGTTAGGTGCTATGGGAGGTCAGAGGAGGTCCAGGCTTCAGGGGACAGATAAGACCTTACCAAGAACCCAAGTGAAGAGCAGTGTCGACCTGTAAAAAGTGTTAGCATCCTAACAAGGTTGGGCTGCTCCGAGTGGTGGCACACAGGGTCTAAACCACCTCCAAGATGCCAGGGAGAAGCCCAGGCCTCCGCACACTCTTTCTCATTCTCCATGGGCCCTTCTGTAAAATGCGGCTGCTTCAGATCCGCCCAGGCCAGGAGAGCCGTTGGACCATCGGCTCTTTTACTTTCATTAAATGTGGACCGCTCATCTCACACATCTTGTATTCAGTGGGCGCTGCATGAAGACTTCTGAATGGCCGATCAGAGCTGTTCCCTTCTGTAATGAGGATTTGGGAAGATGTCATCTCTCCGTAAGACAGAACATGAGGTTTAAAACCAGGGTGAGGAATTCAAGAGGGATCTAAGAAAGGAAGCACTGAGCACGGATAGCCCCAGGCTGCTCTCCTGATTGGGCGTGGGGTGGGGCTGCTCAGCTCAGGGATGAGTCCCTGGGGCCTGTCTGGTATCAGAGGAATGGGTTCTGTGACCCAGGCCTCATTCCATCCCTAGAATCCCAGGGTGCCTACAGCTGCAGACCCCTGTCTGAGAGTTCCCCCCACCTGGGGGACAGGGTGTGGCTCTGCTCCCCACCTGCACACGCCCTGCAGGCAGAGGGCTCGGACAGTACAGACATGAATCACCCAGGCAGAGCTACCTTTGTCATCAGATCCAGCATCTCAGGCCTCTGCCCAGGATGCCACTCGGGACTGGGAAGTGGGGACAGTGATGCCTGGTACCCAGGAGGGAAACACAGAAGGAGAGGGCTGGTGTGGCCATTGAGGGTGCGGGGCTATTGTGTGTAGCTGGTCCATAGGCCCTGAGCAGGGGCATCTGGTCTCCTGAGCGTGTGTGTGTGTGTTGTGTGTACATGTGCATAACCTCTAAACAAGGGTGTGAAATGTACACCTACATGGCAGTCTTGTTCTATTTCCCAGTGTGTGTCTTTATTTCTAGGCTAGGGCACCGGTTCTCAAATAGAGGTGGAGTTCAGGGTAGGAGGTAGGGTGCACAGACCCTTTTTCTTTCCTTTTTTTAAGGGTATAATTCAGTGCCATTTATTACATGTACAAGACTGGCAACCATCACCATTATCCATTTCCAAAATTTTTTCATTATTATGAACAGAAACAGTAACCATTAAGCAGTAACTCCCATTCCCCACACCCCACAGCCCTGGTAGCCTCTAATCTACTTGTCTCTATAAATTTACATATGCTAGGTATTTCACTTAAGTGGAATCATACAGTATCTGTCTTTTTGTGTCTGGCTTATTTCACTTAGCATGATGTCTTCACAGTTCAGCTGTGTTTTAGGAGTCAGAACTTCATTCCTTTTGATGATTGAATAATATTCCACTGTATGTATATACTACATTTTGTTTATTCATTGTTGATTGACATTTGGGTTGTTCCCACTTTCTGGCTACAGTGGATAATACTGCATTTGAAAACTGGTGTACAAGTATCTGTTCAAGTACCTGCTTTCAGTCCCTCTGGGTATGTATCTAGGAGTGGAATTGCTGGGTTACATGGTAGTTCTCGGTGAGCTTTTTGAGGAACTGTGGAACAGTTTTCCATAAAGGCTGAAGCATTTTACATTGCCATCAGCAATGTACGAGAGTTTGAATTTATCCACAGCCTTGCCAAAACTAGTTATTTTTTTATTTTCTTAATTAATAACCATCCTAAAGGGTGTAAAGTAGTATCTCATGATGGTTTTGATTTGCATTCCCCATGGCATGTGTGGCTGGTTATCTTTTCATGTGCTTCTTGGCCATTTGTATGTTTCCTTTTGTTTCTTTGAGAAGCATTAAGTCATTTTGCCCTCTTTTGAATTGGGTGGCTTGTATTTTGTGGTTGAGTAGTAGGAGTTCTTTATATGTTCTAGACATTAAATCCTTCTCAGATATGTGGCTTGTGAATATTTTTCCCCCACTTTGTGGGCTGTATTTTCACTCTCTTGATTGTATCCTTTGATGCACAAAAAGTATATAATTTTGATAAAGCCTAATTTACCTTTTTCTGCTACTCCGTATGCTTTCAGTTTCGTACCTAAGAAGTCATGGCCAAATCAATATTACGAACAGTTTTTCCTTCTAACTATGTTTCCTTCTAACATAAAGTTGAAATAATTTTATAGTTTTGCCTCTTAAATTTAGATCTCTGATCCCCTGGCGAGTTAATTTTTGTACGCAAAGTAAAGAAAGGGTCCAACTTCATTCTTTTGCATACGGCTGTCTGGTTCTCCCAGTATCACTTGACGAAAAGACTGTCCTTCCTTGGAATCTGTGTCAAAATAATTAACTTCGTAGGTGGGGGTTTACTTCTGGATTCTCTTTTCTGTGCGTCGTTCTTTCTGTCTCTCCTTCTGCCAGTACCACACTGTTTTGATTGCTGTAGCACTGTTGTCAAATTTTATATCAGGAAGTATGAGACCTCTAACTTTGTTCTCTTTTCTCAAGATAGTTTTGGCTAGTTAGAATCCCTTGAGAATACATATGAATTTTAAAATGTATTATTTTGTATAAAAATGCCACTGGGATTTTGATAGAGATTGCACTGACTGTGTAAATCTCATTGAGCAGTACTGTCCTCTTTTTTTCATTGAAGCGTAATTAACATACAACATTCCATTAGTTTAATCTGTACAACATAATGATTTAATATTTGTATACACTGTGAAATTATCACCAAAGTAAGTCTGGTTACCATATGTCACCATACATAGTTACGGTATTTTTTTTGGTGTGTTATGAGAGCAACTTTCAAATTTGCAGCACAATATTACTGACCAAAGTCACCATGCTGTGCATTCTATTTCCATGACTGATTTATTTTATAACTAAAAATTTGCACCTCTTGATCTCCTTCACCTATTTCACCCACCCCTGGATACTTTCCCCTTGTTAACTACCAGTTTGTTCTCTGTTGTTTGTTCAGTTGTTTTCATTTTTCAATTCATTTTAGATTTTAGATTCATTTTAGATTTTAGATTCCACATGTAAGTTGAGTCATACAGTATTTTTCCTCTGTCTGATTTATTTCACTCAGCAAGTTCCTCCATGTTGTCAGAAAGTTCTATCCATGTTGTCAAAAATGGCAAGATTTTATTTTATGGCTGGATGGTATTCGTGTGTGTGTGTGTGTGTGTGTGTGCGCGCGCGCGCGTGCGCGCATATCATCTCCCACATCTTCTTTATCCATTCATCCATCAATGGACACTTAGGCTGCTTCCATATTGTAAATAATGCTGCTGTGAACACTGGAGTGTGTAGTTTTTCAAATTTGTATTTTCATTTTCTTTAAATACCCAGAAGTGGAATTGCTAGATCATATGGTAGTTAATATTTTTAATTTTTTTGAGGAACCTCCATGTACTCTTCCAGATTACATTTACATTCAATCAATTTACATTCCCACCAACAGAGGACAAGAGTCTGCTTTTCTCCATATCCTGCCTAACGGTTATTATTTCCTGACCTTTTGATAATAGCCATTCCGACAGGTGTGAGGTGACATCTCATTGTGGTTCTGATTGGCATTTCTCTGATGATTAGTGATGTTGAGTATCTTTTCATGTACCTGTTGGCCATCTGTATGTCTCCTTTGGAAAAATATCTATTCATGTCCTCTGCTTATTTTTTAATTGGGTTGTATGTTTTATTGTTATTGAGCTGCATGAGTTCTTTACATATTTTGGATATTAATCTCTTATTGGATATATGATTTGCAAATACCTTCTTCCATTCAGTAGGTTGCTTTTTTATTTTGTTGACTGTTTCCTTTGCTGTGCAGAAGCCTTTGAGTTTGATGAAGTCCCATTTGTTTATTTTTGCTTTTGTGGCCATTGACCTTGGAGTCAGATCCAAAAAAGTATCAGCGAGTGTGATGTCAAGGAACTTACCACCTATGTTTTCTTCTAGGAGTTTTATGGTTTCTGGTCCTACATTCAAATCTTTGAGTTAATTTTTGTGTATGGTGCGAGATACTGGTCCAGTTTCATTCTTTTCCATGTGGCTGTCCAGCTTTTTCAACACAACTTATTGAAGAGGCTGTCCTTTCCCCATTGTACATTCTTGCCTCTTTTGTCATCAGTTAGCCATATATGTGCGGGTTTTTTTCTGGGCTCTCTATCCTGCTCCATTGATCTATGTGTCTCTTTTTTATGCTAATATCATACTACTTTGATTACTGTAGCTTTGTAACATAGTTTGAAATCTGGAAGTTCACATTAATTTTTAGGATTTTTTGTTCTATTTGTGGAAAAAATGCCATTGGAATTTTGATAGGGATTGCACTGATTCTGTAGCTTCTTTTGAGTAATATTATGGGCATTTTTACAATATTCTTCCAATTCATGGGCATGATATGTCTTCCTATTTCTTTGTATCTTTTTAAATTTCTTTTATCAGTATCTTAGTCTTCAGTGTATAGGTCTTTCAACTTAATGGTTATTTTATTATTTATTAATTTTTTATTATTTATTAATATATTAAGGTGTTTTATTCTTTTTTTGCAATTGTAAATGAGATTGTTTTCTTAATTTCTCTTTGTGATAGTTCACTGTTAGTGTATAAAAATGCAACAGATTTTTATATGTTGATTTTGTACCCTGCTACTTTACTGAATTCATTTATCAGTTCTACCAGTTCTTTGGTGGAGTCTTCAGGGTTTTCTATATTTAAAACCATGTTATCCACAAATAGTGACAGTTTTACCTCTTCTTTTCCAATTTGTATGCCTTTTATTTCTTTTTACTGCCTAACTGCTCTGGCTAGGACTTTCAATACAACGGCAAAATTGGGCATCCTTATCTTCTTTCTGATCTTAAAGGAAAAACTTCTAGCTTTTAATTTTTGAGTATGCTGTTGGCTCTGGGCTTGTCATATATGGCCTTTATTATGTTGAGGTACATTCCATATATAACTACTTTGTTTTATCATAAATGGATATTGAAGTTTTCCAAGTGCCTTTTCTGCATCTGTTGAGACAATCGTATGATTTTTTAATTCTTCATTCTGTTAATGTGGTGTGTCACACTGATTGACTTGTGGATGTGGAGCCATCCTTGCATCCCTGGTATAAATCCACTTGACCATGGTGTATGATCCTTTTAATGTATTGTTGAATTCAGTTTGCTAATATTTTATTGAGGATTGTTGCATCTATGTTCATTAGGGATACTGACCTGTGATTTTCCTTTTGTGTGGTGTCCTTCTCTGGTTTTGATACCAGTGTAGTGCTAACCTAGTAAAACTTCAGAAAAGTTTGAGAGAGATAAGTATCTAATCTTCTTTGAACATTTGTAGAATTCACCTGTGAAGCCATCTGGTCCTGGTTTGTTGGGAGTTTTTTGATTACTGATTCTGTCTCCTTACTAATAATCAGTCTATTAAGATTATATTTTGTCATGATTCAGTCTTGGAAGATTACATGTTACTAAGAATTCATCCATTTCTCATAGACATGTATTTTTTAAAAGATCCTCAGATGATTCTGTCCCTCTTCCCAGTTGATAACCACTGCTACGAGAGGGGAGGAGCGTGACTCTAGGCTTCCTCCCACAATGCACTGCCAACGTGAAGGAGCCCTGAGTTTCACAGTTGGGGCCAAGAGCTTCAGGATTGAGCTTTTGATGAGAAGTGGGAAACGGTTAAAAACTGTCCAATCTCTAAGAGGTGCCATTTAGAATTGGTCTCCCAGAGATTTCTTCTACTCTAATGAAATCTACTTCTGAGAATGGGGCCACTGAAGGCCAGGGGGACCGGAATGGGGGCCTCTGGGAGTGGAGGCATGGACAGGCAGGCTACTAAACTGCCTCCGGCAGGGCTAAGGGTAGCCTCATGGCTTACAGATGGGTCCATCCAGCTTCCTAGGGTGGGAAGCCACAGAGAAATCGGCAGCGTGTGTTTCCCTGAGATGCCCACAGTGCTGTACATGCCCATCAGGAACCTGGTGCAGGTGAGGCCACATGTTGAGGTTCAGAGTTTTCAGATCAAGTCCATTTCTCTTATACCTTAACCTGGCGTGTGTCAAGAAGCAGGCTATGTTGCATTTCATCTGTCCTCTCCTCTGCTTCCCTGGGTCATTCCCTCCATATCTGTTATTAACTAGAGGCACAGCTTTCTACCTGGCCTCCCTCCCTCCAGCTGCCCAATCTCCCCCACAACCCACCACGTCATTCCTTAGACCTTGCTGCCCTTTGCGCTTTGTGTAAATAAAGGTTCTTCCAGCCCCTGGGACAAAACTCCGTGATGCCGCCCCTGCTGGGAGGTTACAGGGGAGTAACTGCAGTGTAGCTTGGGATGTAGCTCATGTGGACAGCGGTATCCCTGGCCCTGGCACTGCCTGAGAGCCAAAGCAAGCATTGGGGTCTTCAGCTTGCAAGTGAGGAAAGGTAATTGGCTCGTCTCAGCTGGTTGGTTGTGGCTAGGGTATGACTCAAACATGGTTGGCTGGCCCTAGGTACCAAGCTGGAAGAGCATGCTATGCGAAAACAGAAGGCAGACTTAAGCTCTGGCCTTCTCTACTTCTGGTGGTGTTTGCAGAGAAGGATGCTTGACCTGGGTGTCAGCCTCTCCCCTCCTCCTGGCCACACCTTGCTACATGGCCCAGGTCCCTCCTGTGCACCCCTCCTGCAGGCAGCCCTGACTCTCAGTGGTCAGTATGGAGCCAGGCTTGACTCTGGAGCTGGGGTATGGTGGCCACCCTTTAGCAGGGACAGGGAGACCTCCGTCCTGGCCCAGGAAGGCATTTGTAGCTTACTAGGTCAGGGACCCTCTGTAAAGCAGCACAGCACAGGCAGAGGATGGAAGTGTGAAAATGGAAGCGGCCTCCTCTTGTGCACCCTTCTCACACATGCCCCCCGTATTCCACAGGGAAGGGGACTAAAGCCTCGAAAGAAAAGGCTCAGGGAGCCAGTAACTCTCACTTACCAGTAAGAGTCCCTCACCTCTGAGGAGCCCTTAGGACCAGTCCTCCTCCTCCCCACACCCACCCAGGCACTCCTGATTCTCCACTGCCCGGTGGGGGAAGCAGGGTTCCTCCCAGCCGGGCTCCCAGTTCCTCCCCACCCTGTCCCCATTACTGAAACACCCCCGCAGCGACAGGGACAAGCCGGGCTAGCTCTCCAGATGAGCCCACTCACTTCACTCGGGGCTTGCTCTGCTGAGCTCATGAGAGGGTTCAGGGAGGGAACTGGTCCTTACTCTGTGGTTCTCCCGGACCACCTCTCACGTCAGCCCCGTCCTGGGTGCAGGAGACTTCACTGTATAGACCACTTCTGAAGAGTGTTTAGTTCAGATGTGAGTGGGACGGTGGTGGATCCTTTCTCAAGGAGTGCAGAACCAGCAAGTTACCTTGGCAGCTGAGCGACTGCGCGCTGATGAAGCAGTGGGAAGGCACCTGATTTGGGCTCACGTATTTGATGGCTCTGAGAGTCAGCATTCTAGTATGAAAAATGGGAATTTTAACAGTACAACAGAACATGATTTATTGGGAGAGTAAAATCCTAGAATAATCCAAACAGTGAGATTGTTAGAACCATCATGTTTCAAAACTAGACAATTGCTTGAATCAAATTATTTGCTCTAGTGCTTTGTGTGTGGGCTGGTATGAGCTGCTGGCTGAAATAATGAGTGTCCCAGCAGCCCCATCACATGCCACAGGGTGGCACAGACCACAAAGGACAATGACAGTGATGTCAGAGTCCACTCTTCAGTAACATACAAGTTGTCAGAATTCTGTTGTTTGCCTGTTTTGGTAGAAAGCAACTATTTGTAAGAGTGGAGTTACACCTATGCAAATATGTGCTTTGTATCAGATTCTTTAATCTGGAAAAGAATTAGGAGAAGCCATAAAGAAGAATAAAATAATGCCATTTGCAGCAATATAGTGGACCTGGAGATTGTCATTTTAAGTGAAGCCAGCCAGAAAGAGAAAGAAAAATACCATATGATATCACTCACAAGTGGAATTTAAAAAAAGAAAAAAAAAGACACTAATGAACTCCCCTATGAAACAGAAACAGACTCACAGACATAGTAAACAATCTTTCTGTTACCAGGGGGCAAGGAGGTGGGAAGGGATAAATTGGGAGTTTGAGATTTGCAAATATTAACTATTAGTTTAAAATAGTTTTAAAAAACCCAAATTCCTTCTGTATAGCACAGGGAACTATATTCAATATCTTGTAGTAACCTATAATGAAAAGGAATATATGTATATGTATTTATGACTGAAACATTATCCTGTACACCAGAAACTGACACATTGTAGCTGATTATACTTTAAGTGTAAAAAGAGAGGGAGAAGGCATCCAACCAGAAGAGGTTGGGGACGGATGACTCTGTCCTTAATTACTGTCTTGGTGTGAGGAGCACAAACTGCAGAGGTAGCCCGCAGCACAGTAGGTGCAGACGGGCCTGGGCGAATACTGCCTGGTCCGCCTCACGGGGCGGCTGTGAGGAGTGAGTTACGGATCTGTCCAAGTGCTTGGCCCAGTAGCTGGTCCTTCACTGAGTGCTTGGTTGGTATTAGCCACTACCTGTTTGGAAGCCCGAGCTGAGGAAGGGAGGAGCAGCACTGGAGAGTGACTCAGCTGTAAGGTGGTGGGGGTGAAATGTCAACCTTCAGGGCCCGCCAAGCTCTCCCTCCCCTCCTGGGCTCCCCTTGGTGCTGTATCCAGGACAGACCCTCTCCTCTATCTTCCATTTCCCTCTGTCTCAGGCTGGAAGGCAAAAGGAGTGTTCAGAAATCTATGCCTAGGGTGCAGAAAAACGTGGTCTGAACTTTCCAGAGCCATGTGAGCAGGATTGTGCAAGAGTTTAAGGGTTAGAGCGGAGTGAGCTGAACACTCAGTCTGAGAAGTACTTGGTGGGTTTGATTTCTGCAAGTCAAAGGTCATCTTCCACTGTTTAAAAAATTAAAATATAGTTGATTTGCAACATTGTGTTTCACAATAGGTATACAGCAACGTGATTGTTATACATATATATTTTTCAGATTATTTTCCATTGTAGGTTATTACAAGGTACTGAATATACTCCCCTATGCTATGCAGTGGATCCTTATTGTTTATCCATTTTATATATGTATATCTGTTAATCCCATACTCCAATTTATCCCTCCCCCGCCTTCCTTTCCCCTTTGGTAACCATCAGTTTGTTTTTTATGTCCCTGAGTCTGTTTCTGTTTTGTATATAGATTCATATGTAGTTTTTTTTAGATTTCACATATAAGTGATATATATTTGTCTTTCTCTGACTGACTTACTTCACTTAGTATGGTAATCTCCAGTCCATCCATATTGCTGCAAATGGGAATATTTCATTCTTTATGGCGGAGTCTATTGTGTGTGTATATGTATATATACATATACACACAGCTTCTTAAACCAATCATCTATTGATGGGCACTTAGGTTGTTTCCACATCTTGGCTATTGTAAATAGTGCTGCTACGAACACTGGGGTGCGTGTATCTTTTTGAATTAGTTTTCGTCTCTTCTACACATATACCCGGGAGTGGGTTCCTAGCTGCTTTAATTAATTTTTTGAGGAGCCTCCATACTGTTTTCTATAGACGCTGCACCAGCTTACATTCTCCCAACAATGTAGGAGAGTTCCCTTTTTCCCCACGCTCTTCAGCGTTTATTATTTGTAGACTTTTTGATGCTAGCCATTCTGACCAGTGTGAGGTGAAAGCTCATTGTGGTTTTGATTTGCATTTCTCTAATAATTATTGATGCTGAACACCTTTCCGTGTGCCTGTTCGCCATCTGTGTGTCTGTCGTCTTTGGAGAATACCAATTTAGGTCTTCTACCCATTTTTTGATTCAGTTGTTTGATATTGTATGAGCTGTTTGTATATTTTGGTTATCAAGTCCCATGTCGGTCACACTGTTTGCAAATATTCTCCCAGCCCATTGGTTTTCTTTTCTTTTTATTGATGGTTTCCTTTGCTTGTGCAAAAGCTTTTAAGTTTGATTAGGTCTCACTTGGTATTTTTTGCTTTTATTTCTTTTGCCTTGGGAGATTTTATTGGTAGGATTTATGTCAGAAAACATTTAGCCTATGTTCTCTTCTAGATATTTTATGGTGAAGTCTTTAAAGCATTTTGAGTCTATTTTTGTATGTGGTATAAGAGAATGTTCTAATTTCACTGATTTACATGCGGCTGTCCAGCTTTCCCAGCACCAC